ATTTTTATTTATTAAACTTAAAAAAAATTTTCAAAAAACAAGCTTACCATAACGAATAAAAAAAAAAAAAAATTAATGCTAATTTAAATCTTGAAATGTATCTTGAAATATCTAAAAATATTTTTAAACAAGTTATTGCCGTCAACATTAAGTTCAAAATTATATGAATTCAAAAAGAATAATTCGCTTCATTAAACTGATGTCAAATAGAAAATCCTTGTATCTTCGATACGTAATTTTTGTTTAAAACAATTTCATACTAATCTGATTAATTAATAATTCTTAATACATGTACACTAGACAATTGATTATGCGTTAAATTTTATTGCTAAGAATATTCTCAAACTACATTTTGCATTACTAGATAGCAATTAATTGAAATAAATTGATGATGTCTCGGCAAAGCAAACCGTCTACATATTGCGAGATTTTTATTAATTACATCTAACTTGTTTTTAATAAATAATAAGGTGCTTATATGTAAAGTTAAACCTGTTTCTGTTGAAAGATGATTTTTTTTTTTTTACAGAATAATTTATTGCAAATGGCATGTGGAAATTAAAGTTGTTGTCATGGAAAATTTGTTTCCGACATAGTTTATAATCTTAAAAACATTACGAGTATAGTTAATAGACTTTATTTGATGTTAAAATGGTAAAATTTTGATCAAACTTATTCTTAGAAAAAACTAACCCTTATCTTAAACCGTCAGGATAAATCGTTAATCGATCAAAACATTAGCTCATTCTTTGAAACACTAACATTAATTTAACTCGTCAGGGTAGAAACAACAAAAAGTGAATTCCATAATGACTGATAAGATATGTAGCTTATCTTTTCCCTATGGTTCTATAGATTTTCAGTGCCGAATTCGGCCAGGATTAAATAAACGGTATAATTTAAATTAAAACAGTTTAAATTTTTAAAGTTTAAACTGTTACTTTAGAGGATTTTTGACAAAATAATTTATCAAGAAAATTTCAAACACTTTATAAATAGTATAAGAGTCTCTATTTGATTTATATAGGTTAAAGAGCTATTATTGGACATTAATTATCTTATATAAAACATAGATTTACTGTTAAAACAGCAGAAGATAGAGGGAACAGCATCCCATAATCCATACTATTTAAAAATAGTTCAAAAATTAGTTTAACATTCAATTTTTCAATTAGCAAATTTGGAATAACATTTAATGATAAATACTTGTGTTTTTTTTACAGCTTATCATGAATACCCTTAGATGATCTCAGTATTAATTTAAAAATGTTTTTCCTGATCAGTTCATGAATTTGAATTCAAATTAGCTAAAATAATTTGAATTCAAATTAGCTAAAATATGTTCTATTTTAAACAATTAGAATGATTCTGAGTCAAACAACAGACCGGTCCCAATTCTTTTCTATTTTTTACAGATTATAAAGCGCATTATGTATGACAAAAAATATAACTACCCTACAAGTAGTTATAGTTTTTGTCAAGGGTATAACTACCCTACTTAAAAATAATTTTCTGTATCACAAACAACTTGGTTTTTGAAAATTGCGCTAATCAGGCAATAGTTGAGTTGTCTAAAAATAATTTTAAGGCTTTGACATTTTCTATAGAATACATATTTATGAAATTTTAACTTCTATTTAAAATGACTGCAATCCTTTTTTCAAATCAAGAACAATTTGTAACGTAGGATTGAAGTTGATAGCTAAGGTAAACAGATCTACATCCCCTCCTAGTTTTAAAATAGTTATAAAAAAAAAATTTTTTACTCCATATTTTAATTGTTAAACAATATCCAAAACATTCAGATTTTGGATGTTTATTATCCCATTTACTCAAGATATTTTTATTTACGTATATTTAGATTTTTTCTTATGATATTTACTTCTTAATTTTAATCTTTTTGTTATTGATATTTTTTTTCCGGCTCAAAATTCAAAAATCTGTTTTATCAATTGTAAACACAGAACTAATCCATTTTATTCACTGTAACTAAAATTCATAAAACTAAATACACTTGGTTCACAAAAGTTCTATATCTAATAACATACCCTATCTAATAACATACCCTATCTAATAACATACCTTATCTAATAACATACCTTATCTAATAACATACCCTATCTAATAACATACCCTATCTAATAACATACCCTATCTAATAACATACCTTATCTAATAACATACCTTATCTAATAACATACCCTATAAAACTACTTATACTTTTTATAAATAACATAAAAATGAATAGCGTTGATAATAATAATAATAATAATAATAATAATAATAATAATAATAATAATAATAATAATAATAATAGCAATAATAGCAATAATAATAATAATAATAATAATAATAATAGCAATAATAATAATAATAATAATAATAATAGCAATAATAATAATACCAATAATAACATCAAACAAATAAAATAAAAAACGTTTATCCAATGAAAGTTTAATTGATAACTTTTGACAATCATTTAAGTTAGAAATAAAAAATAGAAAAAAATATCTTTTAAACTTAAGGAAGAAACAACTTTTGAGTATAATGTGTTTAAAAGACTTCGAACTTTAATTCGACCACACTATATTGCTTTATTCATAGCGATATAGTGTGGGCAACCCTTTAGCTATAGCAATATAGTATAGGCATTCAACCTTTTATGTTCACTAGAAAAATAAATATCAAATCATTTTAAATAAAATAAAACAAGCCAAATTCTGAATACAGATATGTATATATATATGTGGCATTAAGTAATATTTATTACTTATGTTTAAACTTTAGCAGTTATCTTGAAATTTTAATTTTTCAGTTACATTTCTTTATAATTAATCACAAATATCTAACGAGATAGTTGTCGGCAATTTTTTTAATCAATAGCAACACTTGAAAAATCGAACTATTCAATTGCATATCTATGACCACGTTAACGGAACTCGAAAAAACACATAACCTCTACTCTATATATACCACAAAATTTGTAACCTTTCATGAATCATTAAGAAAGATACCGTACACAAACGCGTGCGTGTGTAGATATGTAGGTGTGTGGAAAATTATTTTTTAATTTAATCTATCGATATAGTATAATATACTTAAGTAATAAAAAAATATTAAATTATAAGATTTTTTGGTTGGTTTTACCTAGAATTGCAAAAATGCACACGTATTGCACGGGCGCAATCAGATATCCACAATTTCAAGAACTTTTACCAGCCTCAGTGTGCCAGATATCTTTTGGTACTTTTTTTCTGAATAACTATTTTTAATAATTTTAAAAACCTATTATATAAGAATATTTATTGTTAAAAAGTAAATAGAACATATAAACATTGCGTAAAATTAAAATATTGGGTTGTTGACTTTTTTAAACTAAAAATAGACTTGTTTTTCTGAATTTTTTTCTGTTGATTAATAAAAGCAATTTCGTTTTTTGCTGTCGATAGATAAAAAAAACGCGTTTTAAACTAAGGTATAACTGCGAAAAAACGTGTCATTTTTACAATTTCCATTAAAAACAAATCGTGAATAAATATACCATCATTTAACTTTATCGAGAAGACATCAATCATTTCCTTGTTTGTTTTTATTTCTTTTTACATGACTACATAGTGAAGATTAGATTTTTCATTTTGCGACTTGTTATCACTATGCCAGTGAATGTTCCTTCACTGAGCTATAAATTGCTTCTTGCTGCGTTATGAGAATGGTTGGGAGGAGTTTTCCTTTTTTAATAAAAATATTATAACCTAACGTTCGTTGCAGTGTGAAAGCTAACTGCATTATTTATCAAACCAAATTTATGAATCGCCGATCTTTGAAATTCAATGATAAATTGATAATAATTAAACTTTTCAACTGCTTTACTTTTAACTAATTTACTATTTCAACTAAAAATAGTTTACAAAACTAATATAAACGATAATAACAAAACATATATATATATATATATATATACATATATATATATATATATATATATATATATATATATATATATATATATATATATATATATATATATATATATATATACATATATATATATATATATATATATACATATATATATATATATATATATATATATATATATATATATATATATATATATATATATATATATATATATATAAATATATATATATATATATATATATATATATATATATATATATATATATATATATATATATAAATATATATATATATATATATATATATATATATATATATATATATATATATATATATATATATATATATATATGTATATATATATATATATATATATATATATATATATATATATATATATATATATATATATATATATATATATATATATATATACATGTTTTCATTGTTTTAATGTTTTCATTGATTCAAATTTTTGATAAACTTTTATATATATATGTTCAATTTGTGAACTGTATAACTATGTCCAAAATAAAATAGCAAATTCTTTCTAATATTATACTTTTGTTACCCTTTCCCCCACGCAATAACTGTATGCATACTTTATTTGTATGTAAATTTGTTCTAGTTGTAAACATGCATGTCTTGATCATGCATTCATTTACTATAACCCATACATGCACATGTATGGGTTATTCTAACTTTACTTTTGCACATGCGTACTTTCAACAAAAAATAATGTTTGTGGAACATCGTTTAAAATAGTTAATTACCCACAATCGCTGCAAACTGCAACTAAGGTTTGATAAAAAAACACTCATATATGAGTACTATTGATCCTAAAACAAGTTTTATTTTCAAAAAATTCTTTTTCTTAACACAAAAAAAAAACATCTTATTTTTATTATTATATATATATATATATATATATATATATATATATATATATATATATATATATATATATATATATATATATATATATATATATATATATATATATATATATATATATATGTATATATATATATATATATGAATAAAAAAAAGTAAAATTGTCCCTTAGGAACCTTACCCACCATTTCCTGCTCTTCTCTGACAATATTTGCAATTTTACACTTTCCTAAATAAAACAAAAAAACTAACTTTTAATAGTGGACGAAGTCTATTATTAAAAATGTTATGAACTGAACTGGAGGTTTTAAAATATTTCATTATTTTTTTTAAATATTTCATTATTTGTTTATTTTTTTTATTTTTTAGGATATAAAATATAAACATATCATTCTTGTTGTTGGAAAACTTTTTAAAAAACTTTTCAAAGTTTTTAATTCAGTGATTAAATACACGGTTTCAATAAGTGATTAATTTAATAAAAGAATAAGGGACATCGGAAATATATTGTCTCGATGGGCAAAGGCCTTTATTTATCGTTTTGCGTTTTGAATTAATAAATGTATATATTTTACAAATGTTATGTTTTATATAATAAATGGTTAAATTGTTGCATTTTTCAAATTTATTTTTTAATTGAGTTCTCATTATTGTATCTTTTCATAGTTTTAATTATTTGAAAATAATTTGGGTAAATATTTGAAAAGAATAGCGATACCAATAAGAACACGCTATAGATTACAGGTTAGCCACGGGTTATGGTTCAAATCAGCAGAGTTTTATGTTTAAGTGAACGTATTTTTAGAAAGCTTAAAGATTGCGGAAACATTAAAGAATTATTGCGGGTTTTATGTGGAAGTATTGTAAATGTATTGGAATGTATTAAGGAAGTGTTTTAGAATTATTATGAAATTATTTCAAAAGTATTTCAGAAATATAAGATTAAAAATGCTATAGTAATTTAAAGTTGTGAATGCACAGTATGGCTTATTAATTTTTTATCTTAAGTCCCCAGGATATCATCGCATCAATTCCACGGAACTAATAGTATGCAAAAATTTGTATAATGTAATGCATCAAGTATCCAAATATGTGAGAGAGAGACCGAGGGTGGTAGCACATTTTGCAATAACTAATAACGACAAAATTTGAGTAAAATGCACAAGCAGTTTGATTATCTGTAAATGAAAAAATAAACATTTACAACCAAAATAATTTTTTTATTATATGCGATAGTAGTCTAGCGGCAGAACACTCAGTTCGAAAACAAGAGTTATACGGTTATGTCTAGAAAAATCTGTCTAGAAGCCTTTAAAATTAGCGCACTCAATCTGTTTCTCCGCCCAAAGGCCTTGTTTAACAATGTATTGTTTAACAAGGTTTATGTTTCAGCTTCAGGATTAAGCGAGACAGATAAAAGATAAAATGAGTAGTCTCTTCAAATGTATTACTTACTCCTCGACTCTGGAGCTGAAGTTTTAATAACACTAAACTTTTGTTTGAGTTTATAACACAAAACTTTTGTTTCATAGAATCTGATTGAATTAAGCCTGTTTCGTTTAGAAATGCTGACTGAAACGTTAATAAAAGTTTTTTGTTTCTCATTATAGCATATTTAATTATACTTTCAACTTTGAAAATCAATAATCTATTGTAGAAAAAGTATTTTAAAATAAAAATTGTAACACAGATATATAGATGCATTTATGCAATATTGAACCATTTATCCAATATATATATATATATATATATATATATATATATATATATATATATATATATATATATATATATATATATATATATATATATATATATATATATATATATATATATATATATATATATACATTTATGCGATTTAGATATACTCCATTAAAGTTTAATTACTAAACATTGATGTACTAGAATAACACTAGCGGAATTCCCTGTTGTTATTTCAAAATACTTAAAGACCTAAAGAAAAGAAGATTTTCACTTTTATTAAATCTTTTACTCTTTTTCATGTGTTGGTCTGAAATTATTTGTTTTGGCAAATGTTAACACGGTTACAAAACCGATGAATGTTAACACGGTTACAAAACCGATGAATGTTAACACGGTTACAAAACCGATGAATTTAAAAGTTTTAAAAACTTGCTTAGTGCTTTATGTTTTTAGGCACTGCGTCGCTATCAATATTTCACATTACACGATTTAATATCCTCTTAAAAAAGAATGAAAAAAATAAATAAACCATATTAGCTGTGATAAGTGAGATTGTTCCTTAACTACTCACTTGTCACAGCTAATAGTAGTAATATGTTTCTACTTTATAAGTTTTATTTTACTTATCGTAATAATAATAATAATAAAAAAGAATAACTCAAATTAAAAATTATAATCACACTGTTGCCTTTTTTCATTTATTTCAATTACTAAAATAAAAAGGTAAACTGAGCGCTCCCTGATTAATAAACGGTATTTATTTTTTTAGTTTTTATTTAAAATTTGAATACTACTGGTCACGTGTGTTTCAACACTTTTTTTATATGGTCTTACAACACATTTTTTATACAGCAATATTTCTTGCTTTGAAATTATTATAATAAAATAAGTCTTATTAAAGTGAAGATTTATGAAAAATAGTGGTAGCGCACTTGCCTCAGAAACGTAAGATCCGTGGTTCAAACCCTACCTCTGGGCAAGTTTAGCGACATCGGTTGGGAAAGGGGCGTGAACTTCCTATTAAATGCTCTTCCTCAATGCTCTGTGAAAAGACCTTAAGGACTTTTGGGGCACCTAAATCAACATAAAAAAAAAATAATAATAAAAAAATAATAATATTTAATATACATACAAATTGCATTTAAATTGCCCTCCCAGTGTCTTGTGATGTTGACTTGGACATGAAATTTTTGTCTTTATCGATAAAGCAAAATTTCGCTTATGATTTTGAACTTTATGTCTTGACTATAACACGTTATGTGACTATAAAACGTTATGTGTATATAAAACAGTCAGTTTATTTTGGTCAAGTAACGAAAAAATGCAAAGATTTGGAAATAATGTTCGTTAACCCAATAAATTTTGTTAATCATTTAAGAAGCAGTATTTTTAACATCCCATGAGAATAAAAATAATTTTGTAGCCTTTCACTGCCTCATATAATTAATATTGCTTTTTTTGTTGGAATGCAAGAAGCGAACTTGAGTGAAGTTCAACTTGAACTTTGAAGTCTGACTTTCTCAAGTTAGACTTCAAAAACTTTGAAGCGATTTTTGCTTTTTCAAGTAGCATTTTTAAGTTTAACTTGAAAACAGTCGGTTTTTAAGTATAACATGAGTTTAAGTTTGCTCTACGCATTAACTTAAGTCAAATTTTATGTTTGAAGTATGACTTCAAATTTCAAGTTCGCTTCTTGCATTCTACCCTTAATATTGCTTTTTTTTAATTCAATTTCTGCGGTATTTAATTGGTATTTATTTACAAAAAAAATACCGCAAACATTTATTGGATCAATGTTTATTTGCATAACAATTTAAAAACATTTTATAAATTAATATAAAAAAAAAATTGAAATCTTGTTTATCTCGTTTTTATTTCTTGTTCTCAAATTGAAATTTAAGTATCGCTGGTTTAAAGATAAGATTAAAAAGAAGTATATAAAGTTATAACCAAAGTGAACTTTTTTCTTGACTACACCGTTAATAAACTTTTTTCTTGATTGCCCAACTATTCTTTGCCTATGTGGCCGAAAAATCATGTTCTGGTTTTGTCTAAGATCAAGACTAAGGTGGAGTCATAACATTATAGTCAACTTAATGTGTCCACTGGGTTATTAGATTACTTTTTAATGCATATCTTGGAGATTAAATCTTATGAACATCTTTAACTTAATTTTTTCAAACTTTTAGTTAGTTTATAGTAAAAAAATAATTCAATCACTAAAAATAATAATTTTGACCAAGCATACCATTAAATGAACGATGAGGAGCGGCTGCTATCAATATCATGGTTTTTAAAAATATTTGTTTAGCGCAATAGAAGTTTTGTGGATATCTCAGAAAGCTTCTTGCAAACTTTAAAAATGTTTTTTAAATTTTATGAATACTACTAAACAGTTTAAACTTATTGGCGTAAAGTTTTTTTTATTAAATATATTGAATTTCATCTTTTGAAATTAGATAAAGAAATAATGTATGTGATACAAATATATTTATAAAAGTTTTGCATTTGAATAAAATCACTAAAATAATGTGATCACATAAGAAAAACAAAGTATAAAACTTTAAATTTGAAACCAATAGCAACACATACCTCTTTTTATTTTCATTGTTCTCTTGTAAAAAAAAATTATTCGATAATTATTTGATTGCTATCTTTAGTTTTTCGTTCCATTTACAAACAAGCTACGTCACAATTGCTTTTTGTAATTAAGTCAAATTCGTTAATGTTACGCTTCGTTGCTGATCAAATTAACCATCTGCTATATTAGTCTGTTATTCTAAATAATTCGCAATTTAAACAAAAAAAAAACAACCTAATATAACATTTTTGATTGATTTTATTATTTTATTATATTCTCTACACGCCTTGCTTTTAAATAAAGAAATTTTCATATGGTCATAAACAACACCTGCTTCTAAATTCAATAAGATTATATTCCTTATTCATTTTGCATAAATTATGAATTTTTGTTCAATATATGCAATTTTAATAATTAACAGAAGGAACGAGTGTTGTGTAGACATGGCAATAAAATGTTAAGCAAATATTGTTTATAAAGACAAACCAACTTTTATTAATGAGCTAAACATAAAAAAAAGTTGCTTGCTTACAGTCGCCTTCTTAAAAATTTTAATGAAGTATTATATAAAGGATTAAATTTTTCTAAAACAACTCAATAATAAGAAAAAATTTAAAAAAAAACGGAAACAAAACTCAATATATGTTTTTTAATTTAAAATATCTTTTGGTTTTCCGAATTACTTAACTAGACCAAAATCAATTTTTACATTTAAAATGTAATAATAACCCAGGTAGCGCTAAAAGGTAGTACGCTGTGGGTGGGCAGATTTTTTAGAACCCACATTTATATTGAGGTAAGTTGGCCGAAATAAGTCATAGATTTAAAATTTTATTAAATCTGGTGACAGAAAATGAATAGAAAGTCACCTTGCTTGAAAAATTCATGCTTGTTATGAAATACTACGATAAAACATACGCACTGAAAAATTGCCGATTTATGAGTGACCGTTACGGAAAAAATAAGAATTTTGAAACTTATTATCTTATATTTTATTCTATTAGATTAAAATTATGTGTTTAAATTGCAATCAATCTCTATTTGTATTCCACACATAAGTTGTATATAAATATTATTTTGACATATATTGCATTGAAAACAAGATGTTGATAATTGGTTATTTTGATGCTGATAATTGGTTGATAATTGGTTATTTTGATGTTGATAATTGGTTATTGTAATAATCAATTATCAACATCAAAACAACCAATTATGCCAATATATGCGCATATATGCGCATTCGTAACTTTGTGGGTATGTTTTGAACATCATGCAAAAACATTTTATTTTCTTATGTTTTGCCGTATATATGACATTGACAAATTTCGTAAATTAAAGGTGTAACATTTACAAGTTTCGTTAGTCAAAATATGTAATGGAATTTATAATTAAATAGTACCAAGTGGGCACGCGTCGACCGGATGCTCATTGACGTCCAGACGTCCGACGGACGATCCCCCGGACGACGCATGCTTATTGGGTAAGGGCATGACTTCAAGAAGATCGTAATGAACTTATCACGAAGCCCTTACAATGTGATTGGTATAAATTATGATGATGTTAAATACAATTATATATGAAGTACAACTAGATTTTGATATTCTTTAAATTAGAAAAAACTCAAGATAAAAATTGAACTCAAAATAAGCTCTTCATAAAAATTAAACATAACAAGATGCAGCGTAACAACTAAAATTGTTAAGAAAAAATATCTGTTTTTTTAAAGGTATATTATATTTTGCATTTTTACAAAAATGTTATTTTATGCGTTAACAAATAAGTTATTATTAAACAAAGTTTTCATATCAATTAAAATATTTACTATAAGATGAATTCCAAAAGTTAGTGTTTTACGGGTAATAGAATGTTTACAAAAAGAAGTTTACAAAGCAAAAATGTCGGCTAAATGTCGGTTTATTTTGTAAAGTTCAAACCCGCTGTAGTATGAGATTTTTACTCCCGCGTTTTTTTTTACTCCCCAGTAAAAATCTCTTACTCGCTTAAAATATTTTGCGGCAAAATGCGACCAAACTACGTTGTATTTTGTGAATACTTTTAAACGTTTTAATTACTGCGGTTTCTTGAAAAGCGAGTATTTAAACAAAAATATTGAAAGCTTTGTTATCAGTAGCATATGTTTTTTTAAAATGATTAAATGTTGATAATGTCAAAACTGGACCAATTAACAAAGACGTCGAATCAAGCAACACGTACGATAATACTCAACATGAAAGCAGTGTAAGTGTTTCAAATGAAAGAATAGCAAAATCTGCAAATTTTGATATTACATAATAAATTGCAGAAAAGTTTGGAATTGTTAAGAAACACATTATTGCCGAGGAAACATCAAACTAACTCTTTATCCTACTGAATCCATAGAATTAAAGGAGACGGAAACTTTTTTTATCATAACTGGAAATGAAGATGAACGTGAGCCAATTAGAAACAAAGTTGTTAACCAAATGTGTAACAAAATATTTGAGTATACCAATTCGAACGCATATTTGTAAAAATAAAATGTTTGAAGATGATTGAGATAATTGGATGCGCTTTATTTATAGAGGTAGATATCGAATAAATACCTCCATAATTAAAGTGTATATAGGGAAGACTTGCCTTAATTGGAACACTTAAGGAATAAATATTTATTAACCAAAGATGGCTTAACTATGAAAACATTTATGATTTGAATAATACAAACATACATCCCTACTATACTTTTAAATACAATTTGACTTAATTGATTGCACTGTTACTGGAAATAAATTTGATATTTGCAAAAGTACTATTTTGTTCCAATCAAGGCAACTGGTTCCCTAAATTGAACTCTTTGATTCCTTAATCAGAACAGGTTTTTTTTTTTTTTAAAAAAAAACACAGTAAAATCAACAAAAATTGGTTTAAAATGATTTTTATCTTTACAGTAAAAATTTAAACAGTTATTTTGAAACTTATTTTAGGATTACTATTACTCATATGTTTACAAACAAAAAATTGTATAAAAACTTAAACTGTTATGACGTTCTCTTAATTTATTGATTAAAAATCACTAAATAAAGTATTATTTTTACGGTTTATGATTGTTACTAAGTATTTTTTAATTGCACTCAAACTTTTTTTACAACCCTTTGATTTTATTACCGATTAGGTAAGGAAAACTTTAATGTTCGAATCAAGGAAACTTTGGACTATTTGGTTATATCACTGCAATAACATGCTTGCAGCAACTTATAAGATAAGTTTATATTGTTATTTTGCATTTTAAATCCCATCAAATTTAACACAAAAAATCCGTATGACATATAGCACCATAGTTTACCAAGCGCAACCAATATAGTGTGAACGCAAAATTAGATCACTGAAAAAAAATGCAAAAAAACTTTAAATCAATGGTGCAAATGCATTTTTTGAGGAATAACTTTCAAAATGTGTCAAAACGTCGAAAATAATGCGTTTTACAAAAAAAATGCAAAATATAGCCATAATTTTTTTTTTTCAAAAATAAATGCAAGTGTTCCAATTAAGGCGCTGTTCCAATTAAGGCAACTCTCCCCTTTATATATATATATATATATATATATATATATATATATATATATATATATATATATATATATATATATATATATATATATATATATATATATATATATATATATATATATATATATATATGGATAATAACCCCCATAAATGAGGCACACCTTGTTATATCTTCGTCAGTTCCCTGTGTCGCATCCAGAGCTGTCCCAGAGAAATTTTAAAGAAAAGAAGGGGGGGGCGACGTATCTGTTTTTTGTCGATTAAGGCTAAGAAAAACCTTTTTGCTGACTAAGATCTAAAAAAAAATTTATTAGCTTAGATTTGCCGACTGCCAACTACAAATCCAGTTACGCCGACTTCAGTGTCCAATATGCCGACTAGTAAATGTAGTAAGGACGCTAGACACCCCTCGAGACGCCTCTGGTTGCATCTTCAAGCAATTTATTATCACAAACTATCATGCATCTTAATATTTAATATTTAAATACCTAATAACTTCCTCGTGTATCTCGTTGCGCATACGGTTAGAGAACTTCAGCAAAACTGCTTTTTGTTTATTTTGTTCATTTTGTTCTTCGCCAGTTTGATAGAATAGACTAGTTTGAAGAAACGGTTTATATAGTTTTTTTATATATGTTTATATATATAAGTTCTATGGACATTTGAGCAAAGAGTTTTAAGCGACATTTTCTTTATTAATAATGTCTAACATTCATTGATTTAATCACTGCAAAAATTTTAAATAATGTTCATATTAAACAGAATCTTTTCTTTATTGCTTTTCAAAAAGCCACAATCTTTAAAACGTTAAAAAATACTGTCAAAACCCAACAAAGTCGCAAAATATTTTATGAGAATAAAAATCTCATAATGGGAGTAAAAATTGAATATGAGATTTTTACTAAGGAATAAAAAAAACGCGGGAGTACTACATCACATTGGATTTAAGTAATTGGCGGCGCCTGTGACCTATAACAATGCGTTAAACGTCCATCTATTTAAACGTCTTTGCTCTAACATATTCTTTCCTGAAGCTTTAAAAAAAGTAGCCGCGGAGCAGTAGTTAGAGTTCTGACTCAAAACCAAGAATTTCGTGGTTCAATGCCGGCTCTGGCCTAAATGAGCGACATTGGTAAGGAAATTTCCTAGTTAAATGCTCTTCCGCAGTGCTTTGTAAAAAAACCGTATGAACCTCTTGGAGCACCTTAAATGCCACATAAAAAATAAATGATTAGACATTTTTGTATTAATTGCAAAAATTTATTGAAACTATATTAATAGACCTTATATTATAAATGATCTTAACAAAAATGTTTTAAACAAGACCACAGGCATAGTCGTACAATTCAAGACCTTTAGCTAGAGCTTGTGAGTTAGCTTAGAAAGTTGATTAAGTAATAGTTTATATTAGCAAAACTGAGATTATATTATTTGAGTCATGTATGTCTCAAGACTAAAGTCTTGGTCTCAAGACGTCTCGAGATTCATATTCAAATGTATTGGTCTCGGTCTTGAAGCTTTGAGTCTTGGGCTCGAACTTTTACTACCTTGTATTTTCTTGACCGATTTCCTAAAGGTAGTAAACAGAAAACTACAAATAACTGTCAAGATAATACTTAGGTATCTTAATCTATTTTTTGATTAATTAACAAGCTTCTTTTCAAACAAAGCTTGTAAAGCTTTCTATCGTTT